GAAAAGAAAACAGAATGGAGATATACTATTACCCAACAAAAAGCAGAAATCCTTAGAAGAAAAATAATCTTATTATTGCAATATTGATTTATTTTTTTTTTACTGAAGAAAATTCACCTTTATGCAAATGTAATTAATGATCATCTTATTGCATTGCTTATCAATCATTTGAGTTGTTTCAATGAATTCTACATTTAAGGGTGTTTTATAAAACATCACCAATTCACTTAACTTTCAGGTAAAAAAATCAAATAACAAATGTTTCAATAAATATTTACAATATTTTCATCCATAATAACATTTTAAAAAATGTTTACTTTTAATATTGAACTTTTTTGTGGATTATTGATTGGACTCTTGCTTTGTTTTTTACTTCACTATAAAACTTACAAAAATCAACTCTCTATTATAAATCAAATAAACCAACTTACTGATAAAAAATATTCACAAGTAATCAAAAATCTACAGAAAGATTAAGGATTTCTTTCTAACAATTATTGACAAAAAGACTAAACTAAATCCAAATTTTTCATTCAGCAAAATGGCTATTGAAATTCGTGAATTACTTGCAGAGGGAAAGGGTGTTGCTGCTTCCACAATAAAAAACTTCTACCAACAAAAAACAAATCCTAGAAGAAAAACAGATAGAAGCAATTCAACAGTGGTTTAACAAAGAAAAGAAGAAAGAGATGGAGAATGAAGTCAAAGAAGATAATAAAAACAATAAAGAAATAAATATTAGTAATAATATTATTGATAATAGTAATAGCAATAGTAATAGTAAAAGTTGTATTTTTATCAGAGTGTCTAAAGAATAGGTAATACTTATAAATGGCTTTGAGTCCGAGTATTTTTCTCCCATGCAAGTACTCTGACAATTATTTAACTTATATTTTTAAATAAATTTTTTTTGTTGTAAAATTCCAAGTCATGTGCCCACAAATTTAATTTTAAAAATTTTTTAATCTTTAAAAAATGACGACAAAAGAGGAAATTAAAACTCAATTAAACAAAGCAGAAGCAAGATTAGAAGAGGCAGTGAATAATTTAAAAGAATTTATGAAGGAGAATTTGGAGAAGTTTGAGAAAAGATGGAGAATAGAAGAACTGAAAGAAGAAAAAAAAAGATTGGAGAAAGAGAAAGTGAAGTGGGGAGATGAAGTGCTGGAGTGGAGTAAGAAGCTTCGGGAGGTAGAAGAAAAAGTTAATGAACAAATTGCATAAAAAAAATTTTTTTCATACATTCCATTTTATTTAATTATTTGATTTTGGAGAGAGCATTTGGTATACTGTTTATTACATGGACCAACTGTATCTACATAACAATTTCTGAAATATATAGGTACTCAACTTAGGCCCATTAAATATTCAGTTCAACCAGTTGATTCATACAGCTTTTGTTTTAATCTTCCATTGGAACAACCCATTCTATTTTGGAAAGTGAAATGTCATTAGTACTTACATCCAATTTATGCAGAATTTGCAAACTCAACAAAAGAACAACCATATTATAATTATGTCTACAAGTGAATATCATTCAGAGATGCAATTTCAAATACTAAAACTCTTAAAAATCTGAAAGAAGGTGATTCGGAAGATGGACTTCATGGAAGGGATGGCGGGTTGTTGGGTATTGTTTCTTACCTTTTTTCATTCCAAGTTAACCATAATGTTGCCTCTAGAAGCACCTTAAAACATAAATGTGTGGATGCACATGTTGGAAGTATACCAATAATTCTCATGGAAGAAAAAGCTGATAACAAATGGGATATTATAAAACTGATCACATTACAAATTTTGATTCCTGAAATCTTTGGTAACACCAATGTTCACTTTGTCTGGCTTTTTTGCAGCATGCCCATATGTAAAAACTATATAAATAAAAATTGTATCATAGCCTTCAAATAAAGAGGTACAGACATGAAACTAAGGGAAATTATAGTAAAGAAATTGAAAAAAGATTGCTAATAGAAAAACTTTATAACCAAATGAGATAGAGAAAAAAAGCTCTCTGTAACTTTATTGTAGAAGACTTAAACAATAAAACTATAAAAGTTTTGTTTAATTTTATTATGTTATTCAATTTATTATTAAATTTTACCATAAAAATTTACATTGTAACTGATAAATTAATAGAAATTTCTTTTTATAATTCATATTTTCAAAAAAAAATATTGTTAGTTGAATTTTGTTGTCAACATTTACAATGTGTTGAAATATATGATAAAGATACTAAAAAATCCGCACATAATAATTTGTTATATTGATGTAACATATGTTTGATGATCAACAGCCATGGAACACCATGACTAATTTATCTAAAAGTGAACCAAGTGTTAATACATCATGTCATCAAAATCATTCTTAAATGTTTTTGTCAATGATGCCATGATTGTCAATTGGGTAGTAGAACAAGCTGCTACTTGGGTCTGTCTGGATGTCAGATCATTGTATCATCACAACCAAGTGGCAATTTTATTTTCCTGCAGGTTGGAAATTGGTTTGCTATCAAAAAATTCAATTCATTAAAACAAAACAATTAGTTTTATCATTGATTTGCCTTGTTATTATTATTAGTTACCTTTCTTCAATTAATTGCTTTGTTTTCTCATCATATGATTTTGTATCCTTTTTAATTATCTTTGGCATTGTAAAGAGAAATATAAATAATAAAATAACAGATAAACAGCAAACAACAAATCTGAATTTTGTACATTGAACTGGAACTTGAACAAAACAAAATAACAGTAATGATGATGATATTTCTTTTGTTGTTTTTTTTTTTTTTAAAAAAAAAAAGGAGCAACTAAAATTTTGTATATATGATCTTCAAAACGATTGGTGTTGGGATACAAACTCTGATTGGCTAACTTGGATTACATACATAAATGGGACCACAATAGATTCATCCCAAATTTTTTTTATGTAAAATTTTTCTTGCTTATATGTATTTAATATTCACTCACATATTATTGTTATAATAAAAAAAAATAAATCATTTTATTAATAAGGCTACTTGCTTCATTATGCTCAAATCATCATCATCATCATATTTTATACAAGTATAAATTTTTGAAATATCAAAACAATTATAATTAAGATCAGTTCATTATTATTATTATATATTAACTTGACTGGAGAGTCACTTAATTTGTTATTATTATATTAAACATTTACCCTGCCTAATTATTAAATGGACAAATTCGTCTACATGACTGCTCCTGAACATTGTTAATGACTAAATTTGAACCCTGAAATTCTTGGTAATACAAACGTTTGCTTTGTCTGATTTTGTTGCAGCATGCCCCAATTAATTAAAAAAGCAAAAATTTGCTAAAATGGGTTGACTGTATAGAGTTGGGATTGCAAAAACACCAGATATACCAGTTAACACAAACAATTAAACATATTTTGAATATTTGAGTAAGTTAGTCAAGGAACCACAAAATTTGTATACCATTTAAATTAGAAGGAAAATCCTTCAAGAATCACAGAAAGTACCTTCTTCCCCAAAAACAAATAAATCTTTGTAGGCATTTAGTATTATTCACATCTTCATTTATTTCAAGCACAACATACTGTAGAAATGCTGGAATCAGCATTTGATCCAAATTATAAAAAAAATCTTCAAGGATTATTATTTTTTGCAAAAATGGTTTTTTTTGACTCTATAACAATAGAAACTAATTAGTTTAATTCAATAAAAATTATCAGGAAAAAAAGGAACTATAATCAGAATTAGCATGATAATGTCACATCTTGATCTAGCCCCTACTAAGTTACTCAATTGAGTGGCCCCATCCATGGTCCGCTAAATTACTCCTAATGGAATGGTCTGTTTGACAACCAAATTCAGATTAAATGAATTCATAATTATCATCCTAAATACAAGTAATGATTGGAATGGTTTACCTGCATTTCTTGTTTGGTATTCTTTGTGATTTCTTTTGTAATATTATTGTTTAAAAGCAATCTGTTGTTTCCAATAATACCATTAATGGTATAAAATCATATATATCCATTCTTAGATAAAATAAATATTCTTTTTGTATAAAAAAACAACAGTTTTGTTGTATAAGTAGTAGTGTCTGTCTTTTATATAATTAACCAAAAAAATCAAATTGAAATTTATAATTAAAAAAATTTTTTTCTTGTTTTTCTTTTTTTTTCCTTACTTATTCTTACTTTTAAAGACAATAAAATTATATGCTGGCAACTTCTTTTGACAAAAATCTTTCTCAAAGAATCAGCCATCGTTTTGTAGGACTTCCATTCAACCAATATGCTGACATGTCAAAATTTATACATTCTATACCAGTTTTATTAGATCAGTCATGTGAAGCTTTTGCCATTTATATTAAAAGTCCTGATGAAATTTTCCAATATCAGTTTACTCCAGTAGGCGTTTCTAAGTATTCATCAGGAAATTTTCCCATAGTAATGTTACATCTGTATGTTTTAATATGCAATGTTGTAATATTAACATAAAATCTATGTAATATTTACACTGAATTAATAATTGCATAATTTTTGTATAATATTATGAGACCCATCATAAACAGTGCAATAATTATGTAAATCCACATCAGAAAAAATTTCCTGGTGTTAAGCAATTTGAACAAGGGCCAAAGAGAAAAAAATTGTTTATTTGGAGAGTTGAAGAAAATTAAAAATTTTTCAAAAGATGATATTCTTGAGAAAATTGAAGATAATGTATTTGATGTTGTGCATAAAAAAATGTTACAACAGATCTGAAAGAAAAGGCAACAAGTAAACAATTACCATAGTTCATGTAAAACTGCCACTGAGAACCCAAACAAAGATTCATGCGCAAATAAAGGAGAAGGAAAACCATTTGAGAATACTACGGAAGATTTGGAAAATTTGATGAAAATTGTCACTGATATCTTTGGTCAAATAAAATTCCCAACATACTATGATAACTCAAACCTATCTGACACACTTAAGATGCTAATGCAAAATTTTATGTATTGATTTAGGAGATAAAAATATATTGAATAAGGTACATGATCTATTGCCCTATAAAAAAATTTGGCACAGAAACATATGGAAAAATGTACAGAAAAATGCGAATTTCAAGTAAAATTCTGTACAGTTTTCCATACATTTTCCATACCAAATTTTTTATAGGGTTGAATGAAAATGAATTAAAACTATTGTCTGGGAGATTAGTGTTGGATGAAAGATGAGCATATAAATATAAAAGCAAGTAGGTATATGATGTTCTTTGATCAGATTCTAGAGATGCAATCAAAGGAACAAAAAAATGGTGCTAAGAAAAGTGCCAATTTTGCAGAGATTAAAAGAAACATCAATGATAAAGAGAATGTTACCATTGTAACTGATCATAAAGTGAGTGACAAAATGGAAATCAGTCCTGAAGAAAAAATATTAATTGATATGGAAAAAATTTAAACAGTTTACCTGAAAAATATCATTACCTATCCAATATTTTTCCAATCCCAGCACAAAGTTATAACCAATCTAAACTGTCTGATATATTTATCATCAAGAGCATTTCTAGCCACTTTGACACCATTGTAAGGAAAAATGGCACCATGAAAACATGCCTGAGTGTACATGGATGGCTCATGTATTAGCATATATTCTTTTTGTTACCTTTTATTTTATTGATTCATTAATTGATAATCCGTGAATAAACCAGTGAAAATTAGTAGGATTGGTGGGGCAAAAATGGTAAAAAATCATCAATTGACAATGTTTAACAAATAATAAAGCATGATATTTTTGTATTACAAATCTTGCTCTTTTTATGCAAAATATTAAAGGGATTGGAGTGTTCTTCAAAAACTTTTGTATGCTTGTCACTGAGATTTCAAGAAGTCAATAACATATAAAAATTTGGAATTTTTTAACTTTCAGCCAACACTATAAAGTATTCTGACCAAAATTATACTTTTTTTTTATTGGTTTATCAACAAAAAAAAATTTATTTTAATGAAACCTATCAAATGAACTTATATGTTGTTATAGTCAAATTAAAAAATAACTGAAAAAGAGTTTTAAAGAAGTATTTAACAATTTCTAAGGTTGTTTTCTGTATTTTTTGTATGGACATGAGAATTAACTTGTGAGGATGGTGAGATTTGGGAAATTTCTTATTTTATTAATAATAATTGGTGACAAAATTTCATAACAAAATGATCAACATCTCACTGATTCATTCATGGATTGTCAATTAAAAATATTTTTGATGTGAAAGGACTATATCTACTAAGATGGATGTTCAAGATGTAGATTATAAAGCAGATGGAGTTTGAAAGACCTAATCAAATTTCATTATTTGTGCTTGAGGTATCAGGGTGTCCTTATGATCCAGACCCAGATAAAATCAATAAAGATAGAAGCAAGCTAATGAAAGAAGGTGTTTTGCACTTAATAAATTTATGACAAGCACAAAGTTGTCAACATGGGAAGTATGTAGTACATTGTGGGTTTTCTTGGTTCAGGGATCTAGTAAGTTTTTTAAAATTTTTTGTAGTTGTAAATTAACCACACAATTTCATATCCAAACTGTAGCATCTAATTAATATATTACTTGTTTTCCAGGTGATCATGTTGAAATTGGACAAATGATATTCATTGGGCCTAAGGTTTCCAGTCCAAACTGTTTTCTCAAAGCCTAAACTAGTTTGAGCTTATAAAAAAGTAATTTTTGCCTAAAGTATTTTGACAATTTCGGCTACTAATAAAGAGAGTTTTGGTTGGAAACCTTAATTGGGCCTGGATTATACTTGTCCTCACCATTTACTATCCCAGTTCTTGTAATCCCAATTTCTATCAACAATTTAGCACATGCACCTAGGCTCATTAGGACACTTTTTATGTTTGCAGTACAACATCTTTAAAAAGATTGAGCACTTCAAAAAATTTGCGATGGAAAGTCAGAGGCATTCTGTGGACCCTAGTTCTAAGTATGTAAATGGACTTTCCCCAGGTGGTCAAGATGTGAAATATTTGTAGAGCTTTTGTCAAATACGTCAAGAGTAGAAGAATTTTAATTGAAACAATCTTGTTTGCAAATAATATTTTAAGCTCCATCTTTTAAAAATAAAAAACCATTTTTACTTTTTATTGTTTTCTGGATATTAAAAACTATATTGATGTAAAAAGTATTGATGTTTTGTTCTTTGAAAAAAAATAAATTAAATGTTAAATAAAAAGGATTCTGTGCAGAAACTCTTCTGATTTTCTCAAAATTGTTTCTAATCCATTCATAGGATTTTTGGAGGAATTAGTGGCCAATGAAAAGTTCAACAACTCACTTCTGATAATATTGTGTGCTCGTTGGACTCATAGTAGACCTAATGTAAATTGATTTTTTATATAGGTGAATTTTATATACCACTTAAAGATAACAAAACTCATAATAATAATAATAATCACAACATTAATTTTGATCCCTGACATTCTTGGTGATATAAATGTTCAGCATGTCCCATGTAACGTTATTATCATGAAACCCGTGATTTTGATGATATCATAGCCGTGAAAAATATGGAAAATAACGGGTAATAGTGGTAACAGTAAGTGGTTTCGTTTAAATTTTTATTGATGTTTTGTATTTTTATTATTATTTATTTCTTATATATATTTAATAACTAGTTTAAATTAGTGGAACAAAAATAATTAGTTAATTGTACCATAATAATAAAGTGTCTAGGTGGAAAGGATAATTGCAAATAAATTTGTTGATTGACGAGATTTGTACATAAAAATCTTGTCAATTAATCGACGAGTATATCTAAAAAAGTTAACTCGAGCTCGGCTATAAAACGTAAAATAATCGATATTGACCAAAAAGCTATCTTTGCAATATGTAATTCACATCAAAATACTACACAGTAATCTCGATTTAGCGGATAGTTTGGGCAATTAGGGAAAATTTTCCAAAAATCCGTTAAACCGAGATATCCACCATCGAGAAGGTTTTTATTAAGGTTTATTATGGAACCGTTCTTTGAACTTTATCCGTAAAACCGAGATTTTTAATTAGTATCCGCTAAATCGAGATTCACTGTGTATCTTTAATAATCTTTAACCAATCCCAAAAGGCCGGACCAATACGAAATAAAATTAAATTAATGTTACATTTTTAATTAATGGTAAAATTTAATGTTTTATTTGTTAAATTGAATTAATTTCTAATTTGAGTTGAAGTTGGTTTTATTTACCTTTAGATACATGCTTAATAACAGCTCTATTTCATATCACAATTATGATAATAATTTTCAGATTGCTGATGGATGATTCATCAAGTATAATATCAAATAATACACAAATTTGGTATCATCTCACTTTAATTGATGTCAACATTTAATGTAAATATTGTACCGGGTAAGTCCCTTTGTTTACAATCAACAAATATCTATTTTAGGATCCTTGAATTCGTAAACATATTATTTTGTAAATAGTAATTTATATACAAGTACAAATTTGGTTTGGCCCGTACCTGATTCGGATCAATCCGAATTTGTATGACCCGTTCGAATCCTTGGTGGCTATACTAGGGCCCTCATTCAACGGCTGCCATTGTTATTGCTGGGGCATCAATATTGTTCTCAACTTCTCATTCCACTTTACCACCAACCTATACACATATACAAACCATTAACACCAGTCGATATATACTGGACAACACTTCTTTAACACGCCCCCAATATCGAAAAGATCCAATGAGAGTCTTTCCTAGTCAGGGAGATTTAACAATGTAATAAGTAATTAATTTTGCCGCTTGTTAATATGATGTCAATTTTGCTGATTAGCTCATCTATGAAACGAAATATTGAGCGAGTCTGTGTCAACGATAAGATGAATGCGGAGAATTTTCACACATGTTGAAATATTGCCAATTGTATTGGATAATTACATGTACTACTATCATATTTCTATCAAGTTTAAACTAGATTTTCCTATACAATAAGATAAACAATCATAGATCAAGTCTTTAAATAAGCAATTAAGAAAAATATATATATATAGCTTTCATAATCTGATTGACTTTGTATTTATCGTATTGGAGACACGTCTCAGATATCATATATTACTAGATATCCTGAATGTGTTCAACAATAGCGTATTCAATTAAATCTTTTCCATATCAGAAAACAAGAAACATTTTAAGTCATTGCACTATCAGAATTGTAAATTATTTATAAATTATTTATAAATTAAATCTAATAAAAATTAAAATGACATTAAACATTTATATATATTATGGTAAATAATCTATTTAATGTGTTTGTGTGTATGTATGTGTATATATTACATATATATTATAATATAATTTTTTTTAATTTTAAAAATGGAAAATGATAATTGTAAGTATTAAAAATTAATGATTAAATTTTTTAAAAAGAAGAGAAATTACTTAATAATTTAAAAGTTAACTGGCTCATCATGGCTCGATTGCTGTGTATTCTTCGTTTTCTTCAAAAACAGATCCAAGTGCACTCATGTTACTTAGAGAATTAAAACTCGAAAAACTTGATACTCGCGACATAGCATCAGGGGAACGTATTGGTCCTGATATTGAAGGGGTTCCATTATTTATATTATGCATATGATTATAAAATACCCATCCCTCTGAACCACGTCGATATAAATCTGTTCTTAACACATCATGATGTGGCCCCTCACTTATGCTAGCGCTTCTAGTCAATCGTTTGTCAACATAACCAACAATTACTGATGGTGTTATAAAACATGGGCTGACATTAGTATTCATAAAAGTTATAGTTATTCGAAAATTATGTGTAATTTCAAGATTCGGCGAGTGAATGTCCGGTGAAAGTTCAGAAATTAATACATTTGGAAGTGTAAGAGTTAAATGATGATCTTGAGTTATGGAAGGTAATGCAGTTGTGAAATCAATCATTGAGGCAGGTTTTGTGTACGTAGTAAATGATTTTTCTATAGTTTTACTTGTTGTTGTTGACTTTATCCTATTAATTATATATATATATTAATTAATTATAAAAATCAATAAAAATCAATAACAGCGGGTGTTGTTATATGTAAAATGAATTTTAATTACATACACGTATTTTGATATTTGAGAAATTTCCAAACTAACAGTTTTAATTCTTGCTATCTCTCTCATTACTGTAAGTCTTGCACGAACAACAATGTCGTTAGCACTGCCATTATGTAATGATGATGTGTCTAGAGATAATAAAATCATTTTAGGAACCTCAATATCATATTTAATTTTCCCTTCGAGCATTCCTTGATATCTTTTTTGACCATTAAGCATTGATCTAGGTCTGACCACCTTCAGAACATAATCTACTTTTTCTTGTGAGAGCTTTCCCAACAATGAAGCCGGAGTTATTATAGCTGTCAATTTATACCTTATATAACCATGTGACTCATTAATTGTTGGAGGTGCATCAGCTGGTAATTCAAAGTTAAATGGAAACTCGACAACACCTTTTAGTTCTTTCTTTTTAGAGTCTTCGAAAAGAGATATTGTTTGTTTAACTATAGACGCACTGCTTCTAGTTATAGGTGTGTCGAAGAATTGAAGACTGTGTGTTCCCGATCCATCATTATTTTTCCTTGTTAAACTTGTTTGAGCCACTGATTCATTGCTAAAACTTACTATACATTTGCCTTGAAAAGTGATAGTAACTGACTTGACTTTAACTGGTTTATTTAAAACAATTCTTAATACACCTGTGACTCGGTGCTTAGTTGCAACACTACTAGGCAAGGTGAGGACAGGTGTAGCAGGAATAATATCGATGGCAACAAAAGGTTCTTTCATGGACGGGTTTAGTAAAGTTCTCAAAAAATAATAATAATAAAATAATAATAAAAGAATTATTGAAATCGTTAATGAAAGAATGAATATTAAGTGAGAGAATTTATTTATTTTATGATTGCCAATGGCGGTGGGAACCGCGAAGATGAAAAGCGGCTAAAGTGAAAAACGAAACTTCTACTTTTTTTTTGCCAATTTAATGAAAAGAGAAATGATTGGCTAAATCCCAAAAATTCATTCACAATAAGTGATTTATATAAATCAAGTTACCAATAAATCATTCGACCCAATTGTTTAAAATTGGTAAATAGATGGGTACAAAAATTTGTTTTTTCTTTTTCGGTATAATCACATAATATTTTTTATTAATTCATTTGAATTCCAAAAAATATAAAGCAAAAACTAAGCATACGTCTGTTCTATCAGGTTTTTAAACCTGCCTGACACATGGATTTATAATAATAAGATTGTAGTACAAAACCATCAAATTAAATAAAAAAAAATCACATATTAAAAAATTCTATTACTAATCATTCGTTCAATCATCTCTTTCACGTCGTTCAGGTCCTCCTATTTTTTTATTAATGGATCCGCATGATAGTCCCTCGCCAATAACAATGTCCGGTTCTTCTACTACCACTCCACCAACAATAGGTCTTCTACCCGTACCTCCTTGTTTACTAGTGATCAACCATTTTTTATCAGTTTCTGTCAATTTACTAATTGGAATCAAGGATTCACCATTCCTATAATCAAAACAATCTTTAGGACCAAATCCCAATGCCCAACGAATCTAGTTAAATATAGCAGACACACATTACACATCATCATATATATGTTTAATTGTTTAATTGATTTTACACAATCTTTTGATTTCTTAATTACCTTCATTTTTGTTCTTATGTTGCTAAGTGCGCGAGCTGCTCCTGCGCGTGTATCCATTTTTATAAATGCATGATTTTTTTCATAATTAATCTAATATTTTTTTAAACATCAAAAAATTCATTTAATTCATTTATTCATTTATTGATTATCGTTGTTTTTTTTTTTTTTAATATATTTAACATTACCGTAACAGTCGAGACAGGACCAAATTGGATAAACATTTCTTGCATAACATCTTTGGGCATTTCTTCTGAAACACTACCAACATAAAGTGTTCGACTTAAAACTATACATACAACATATGTTTTTAAAATAAATTAGAGAAAATTAAATATAAAGGATTAAAAAATTTTTTTATAAACATTTAAATTTATAAAGGCACATTCTTCATTACCTTTGATATATTCCATTCCAACAGTTGGATCCTCATATACAAGACATATATCTTGTGGTATTTGTGTTTGTTGTTGCTGTGGTAATGGCGACGATGACAATGATGATTGATGTACTATTGGTTGAGTAACTGGGGCAGCTGTTGTAACCGGAATAACAGCTGAAATTTGAGGGATTGGCTGAATTGGGGCAGATATTTGACCAGGTTGTTGTTGAGACGGATCGGTGCCAGCAGAACCAGTAATATTAGTAGCGGTAGCACTAGTAACAGCAGCAGGTGGCGATGATGATGTTTGTACATTATGAGCTAGTTTAGATACCAACTGATGAGTGATTGAAGGTATTAATGGATGACCAGGTATCATTGATGGAGCAGAATAACCTGGTGGTGGCACAAAAGGACCATTTGGTTGTTGTTCCATTGCAAATAGATAGTTATTATTAATATTAGCTAAAGAAGGATTCGTTGATAGTGGTGCAATATTTGTCGCATATGAAGTAATTAGCGGTTGTTGCTGAATTTGATGAGGTGGAATTGCATGCAGGTGAGAATGAGGAAGTTGACTAGAGTTGACAGGAAGGTTGTTATATGGAATTGTTACATTGGGTGTTGGATTAGATGATAGGAATGGTGGGATGTTTAAAGTTCCTTGCGCAAGATTATTCAAAGTGGCCAATAATGTTGAAGAATCCATTGTTGTTGGATTCATGTTGTTAGGATCTATAAATGGTGATGGTGGTGATGATGATGATGATGATGATGATAGGGCAATGATAATGATAATGATTAATGATTATTATAGAAATAAAAGATTATAATAGAAAAATTTTTCAACCGTAGAAATAATTTTTTTATGTACATGGTTATCCCAAAAATACAAACAATAAATAAAATAATAAAATTGAGGTGTATATAATTTTTTTTTTATATTATTTAACTGACCATTATTAGAAGAAGAAACATTTACTGATTTTATCTCATTAACCAATTGAGTGAGTGAAGTAGTTTGATTAAAATGGGTGTCTTTTATTCTTTGAATAGTTTCCTTATTATAAGTCTCTTTGTCATACCAAAGGTCAAGCACACGTTTCACTTTATCCTGTAAAAATTATTATATTTTATTTTATTATTTGTACGAGTATTTAATTAATTAATCATAAAGATCTCTCAAATAATTTTTTTTGATTTTCTCTTTAATAGGTATGATTACTTCACACTTGGAAATGTAAATTGTAAACTTGGTTTCTTTAATGTTCTGGAGTTTTTTTTTATAAATAATATCTGAATATACATCTACGATAATTAGTGTTTTTTCTTCTACATATTAATTAAAAGTTATGAATTATGAATCTTATCTTTAATAATGATAGTAATAAATTATCTATATTTTTCCAATGTTGACTAATTATAATTAGTGATAGTTCTCTCTTTCCCACTCAACAAATAAAGAAATTCTATAAAGTTCTATCTATCCTCTTAATAATAATAATATTATTATAGCCATAATCATCTTCTCTAAATCAATCTTTTTTTTTAAAAAAAAAAATCATAATAATCATAATAATAGATCCAGCAAAAATATAACGTCGAAATCATACCTTGTCATGTTCTGGACATTGCATTATATGTGTAAACGTTTCTTCTAACAATTTCTCAAATCTATCAAGATATTCGGCACCTGTCCATGAAGAAGAAGATGAAGAAGTTGTAGATGTAATTGATGAGATGTCCTCACTATTTTTTGTCTTTGCTGGTCCTTTTTGTTTT